GCACCAAGTTTACAATGAGATGCATTAAAAGTGGGCCCTTCTGTACAGTATTTACGTATAAGTACAGTAAAGCATTTCTTGATATCTAAGTACAGTTCAGCAGCACTGAGTGCTTCAGAGTCTTCTGCACTTCTGGAAATGCTGCTTCAATCAGAAAAGAAACCTAGATTATTTCATTGTAGCAACATCGGCACTGTCCGAGGATGATAGGAATTATAGAGCATGAGTCCCAGCCTCATGAGATTTCTCATCCTCACTGTGTAAAAGTAATTCTTCTTGGAAAAATACCCAAGAACCATAAATCCCTTTTCCTGGAAGCCTCCCAGAACATGGATTTCAAATAGGTCTCATATAGGCTTCTTGCAGTGTTTTCTGCACTTCTCATGAGCAGGGCTGGATTAAGACCTTTAGATACCCTAAACACAAAGGCTATAGTACCCTCTACAAATATAACAGGCAGCAGGTCCTGCAGCTTGACAGAAAACCATACAACACACATTGTTGTTGTTGTCATTAAGTCATGTCTGACTTTGTGCGCATGTAAATATGGTAATTTACTCATATAACATGTGGCAAACAAAAGAGAACCATGTATCATGCGCAAAATCATGTGTCATTAAGTCATGTCTGACTCTTTGTGCGCATATAAATATGGTAATTTACTCACATAACATGTGGCAAACCATGTATCATGCGCAAAATCATACGTACTATCAAATTACCGGCTTCTGGCCAAATCTTGTGCTTTCACGCTTTGATTTATGTAGACAGATTTTGTCAGAATCTGTAAACTGAAAAGCTCAAAGAAGAGTTTAAAATCCCCCTGGGGGCATTTTTAACAGTGGCTTTGTTTGTTTGTTTGTTTTTGTCTTGCACACATGGTACGGGGACCATAGGTGTAAAAAAACCCAGCAGCTCCTTTTATACTGATTCCCTCCCAATCTCCCAAAACACAGAAGTAAAGAAACCCAAACAAACGGTGATGATCATGAAGACTGATCATTTCACTTAAAACATGAGTCTTCTTGCCAAGTGAATCTTTATATTTTTTTTTAGTTTTTACTGGTTCATAGTCAATTGCTATAGGGCAGGGAGGTGATTTTCTTGGGACTCTTGAGGAAGGGAGAGAGCTCAGAGATTTGGATGGATTGATGTGGTTTGTTAAGGAGGGTGTATCATTTTCACCCATGGCCCATGGTAAATCCAGCACTAAAAAAACCTCAGTGGTGCCCCCTTCCCTTGTTGATGCCCTAAGCATGGGCTTAGTTTGCTTCTGGAGCTGCTTCTAAATGAACATCTTTTCCAGAGCTTGAAAGGTTAGAACAAGAGTTTTAAATGCTAAAGAGTTTTACTCCGAGGAGCCAAAACCTAATTTAGCTTAGATTAAAATCAGTTTGTGTAGTTTTTAATTAAGTTGAAGACTTATCAGTTAAAGGAAGTAATAGCATACATTGTTGTCCCCAGTGGCATGTTATTTTCATTTCGATCACTTAAGAGATCTTCCTTAGTTTGGCACTTCTGAGATGCTTTTATGTGCAAAACTTGTAATTCTATTGCTGGCCAGCAATGGTGGGATTGAAGCCCATTGCACCCGGAAAGGGTCAGACTGGAGAACACTACTCTAAAGAAAGGACCTAGCCTTGACACTTACCTGTATTTTTTCTTTCCACCCATCTCCACCAGCATTTGTTTTAGCCAGCTGGCCTTCAAACTCACCATTTCCAAACTGCTCACCCTCCCCACACCAAGAACACCACCCCAGCCACCTCAGTCCTATGCATCTCCACACCACACCCTTTCCAACTGTATTGATGGTTGCAGCACAATTTCTCCTTAGGCAAAGTAATACCACAACACGCACTCTAAGAAATTATATTCCTCCTTTTGTTCGGCCTCCTCAGATCCCATGGGAGGAAGGATGAATTGTGCCAAGCCAGTTCATCTGGTGTGCAGTTCAGGCTCTTTGTCTAACAAATTAGGACACTTTTGATTTCAGTTTGAGCTTTTAGCTTATGGGGACCGAAGCCACTTGAGCCAACATTCTGATTGAGTCTGACCCTTCTGGAAGCAAAAATCAAAATATTAACCTGACAAATTAAAAAACAAGAATTCGTTTGTTTCAAACTCTGAATTTTTTCAACATCTGAATGCTTCTGTTCTCATGCACCCCTTTCCCACATCACATTTTGGCAGGCAGCAAGGAAATATAGCTGGGAATGTCAGATTTTCGCCATTCCCGGACCCATTAAAGTTACTGGACCCTGGTGGTTTTAAGATGAATGCAGTTACATTTATCTTAGAACTGCAGAGCTGGAAGGCACCCTGAGGATCACTAAGTCCAGCTCCTGTCAAGGTGGCACAGTGGAGAATTGAACCCCCAACCTCTGGCTCCACAGCCAGAGACCTCCACCACTGAGCTATCCAGCAATTTCTTAAATTATAAGTGCCTCAGCTGTCAAGAATCTCGGGGACCATCAATAGCCCCAATGTTGTTTAATATCTATGCTAAGCTGCTGAGGGAGGTCATCAGGAGATTCAGAGTAAGGTGTCATCAGTACGCTGACGACACACAACTCTAGCCCTTCTTTTCAACCTCTCCAAGGGATGCCATTCAGATGTTCGAACACCACCTGGCTTTGGTCTTTGAATGGACCAGGGCTAACAGCCTCAAACTGAACCCAGACAAGATAGAGAACTTGCTTCGGGGGGGGGCACTCATATAGTTTGGGTATAGGCCGGTTCCACAGCTAGAGACCTCAACCTCTGAGCTATCCAGCAATTTCAGACTTCACTCCAGAGTAATCAGCACACTACAGCACAGCTTCTTGTTGTGTCATGTGTGGTTTTCCAGAGGGCAAAAACTTATTGTATGCTGGTGTACATCTTCAGCAGCTTGATTGTGAAGGGTGTGGCATATGATTTCAATATGAGTCGTATTTTTCACATACTCACGCTCATTCTCTTTAACATCTCCACATGTGGCTTGGTAATGATGAGGACAGCTAAACCCATCATTTTGTTGAATGACTCAGAGTTACAAATCAGGATGATGTCCTAAGATATCTGAGTTTATGTTCCAACCGCCTGGCTGTTAGAAATGGCAAGGTTCAGACTATTCATGCCAGCTGCAAACATGAATAACCAGGAGACTCTGCAACAGCCTCTACAGGATGCTGCCTTTCCACTGCCTGAGTCAGAATCGCTGTGCTAAACTCTAGCTGCAACTCACTCTGGAACAAAGGTTACACATTGGGTGAAACGACACGACACATTCAGCCCTTTTGAAACAGGGGGTGTGCTTCAAGTGATGAAGGATATCTGTCAGATGGTTTTCCTCACTTATGTGTTATATTTAGCATGCTTTCCCAAGACAAGACACTGGAAGGTAAACATGGGTTTCATTTGCAAGTCTAACTGCTGAGGCTCTTGTCTCTGAGGACGTCACATAATGGGAAGGAAAACGGGTCCATCACAGAGAATAAGCATTCCTCTTAATGTCTTGTTTCACCCTCAGCGTGGCAAATGGTCTGTGACGTACAGCGATGTTCTCCAAGCTTGGGCCTCCAGATCTTCTTGAGCTACAACTCCCAGAAGCCTTCACCAACACCTCTGCTGGCCAGGATTTCTGGGAGTTGAAGTCCAAGAACATCTGGAGGCCCAGGTTTGGGGACCACTGATATACAACACACAGCAGAAAAGAACCAACTAGAAAAACTGCTTCAGTGCTTTGCTCCTATCTATTTCTCTCCTGTCCCACACTCAGCTGATATAATTAGATAGTTCTCTCCCCAATCGGGCTGTACACTAATTATCTGTGTAGCTGAAGAGAGAGGAAACTCAGTCCAGACGCACGCTTTCTCTCCTGTATGATTGCTGCTCCACTGTGAGGATTCCACTTACACAATGCTAGCAGCTGGATCTCATTCTGCAACCCATGGTATTCATCCCTTCCTGAATTTACTTTGATACTGAAGGCATAAGTCTTCATCACAGGGTAGGCAAGGAGTCTTGCCTTTAAAACAGCCCTACAAGCTTAGTCCATATTGTAGCTGCCTCTATATTGCACGTGAGGACTAAGGACTGAAGCTAAAACAGTGTTTGGCTTGTTTGCATCCCAGTTAATTTCTGGTTGATTAGTGAAGGGGGTGGAGGATAAATTTGCTCAGGTTTACAGTTTATTGTGAACCCACTGAATTTTGTAACTTAATGCCCAAAGCAAAAACTCCGTTCTACTTTATAAATTGCACTTCCTTGAATTTTGCTATGGTGTTCGTTGATTTTATATATATATATTTGTTCAGAGAGTGTGCCTAAAAGCTGCACTCATGAGGAAAAAGCAGCATTAGAAATGCATTAGGAAAACTGACCACAAGAAATATGTGTATTAGGAAAAATAGCCTACAAAAGTACATTAGACAAAGTGCACTAAAATGTGTACAAAGTTTTATCCTAACTTGAAAAAGAAAATCAGATTTTGGGATGCACCAAATTTAAGGTTGGGAAAATTCTCAGCGTTTCAGGGGAACTGATTAGAAAAATGGGAAACTAAGTGAAATTAATGCTGGCCATTTCCCCATACCTGAACACAAGTTTCATTACTCCCAGGGCATTCCTTGATCATAACTCTTCCTCTGCCATTTCAGAATTTATGGCTCATGGTAACAATCTGAGTCCTGTACTTGCAAAGATTATCCAGAGGAAACTACCAACAGCAATATCATGAAGCAACTCTTGTTCTAGAGGCAGGCACTTATTGCCACAAACAGGAATTTCCTGCCTGATGTCTCCTTTAGTTAGATTTACACCACAGTGCAACACACAGACTCATGTTTCTTGCAGAGGCGTCATCTGTGCACATACCTCCTCCCAACCTTTGTACCATGCTATCTCTCTCAAAACCTGACAGCTCCTCCTTGCATTGCTTCACCTGAACCACCCGGATGGTGTCAGATGCATATAATCGTGCAGTGATGAAAGCCTGTTCAGTTTGGTTGAATCTACTGCCTGCTGTGTGTGTGCTGCTTTGAGAGTCCACCATGCATCACACTTACACAAAGAAGACTTGGATGTTTATCCTCCTGATTGGGACCATCTGCTGGAGCCTGGCCTCTGGATGTAAGTTCTTAGACACAGAAGTGTCAAGATTGTTTGGAAGTCCTTTTCAGAAAGGGAGGCAGGGAGACAGAGGAAAAAAGATGGGTGTATTATGGTTTGTTCCTGCAGTATGCTGTAGTAGAACTTGTGAAGGAGTGAAGTCTAGATTTCTTTATTACCATCATAATATCTCCTCCCTCCAAGGAGTTTCGTCCTCCCCATTTTTATCCTCCCAAGAACCTTGCAAGGTAGATCGATGTGAAAGGGAGTGACTGGACCAAGGGCACTCAGGAATGTTCACAGTGGGGACTACCGCCTCCATCTCTCCAAGTCTTATTACTGGTATGACCCTGTAGTCCAGGGTGGCCAACTTGTGTTCCACATAGATGTTGCTGAACTGCAACTCCCATCAGCCTCAGAATCTATTGCCAATAGATATTGGATTCCAACAACATCTCTTGGGCCTCAAGATAGTCCAGCTGTGCTCTAAGAGCTCATAGATGGGGAAACTTAGTCTGTGATTCTATACGCAATGCCTTGAAATACAGTAAATCTAAGTGCATATAATGAGGCTTATTTTAGAGTAAATTGCATATAGGACATTAGTTGCCATTTAAAACACACTTTCCAGGGAGGGAGCCACAGGGAAGGTGGTGGGCTTTGCTTAGATGTGAATTGATGCCAAGGATTATGCTATTAGAGCTTGTTCCCAGATGTGTGTATTTACATCACTTGTCTGCTACATGTTAGGGTGTTGCTAAGTCATGAGCCAGCATGGCATAGTGGTTAGAGTGTTGGACCAGAACAGGGGCCGAAAGATTTGAACCATCTCATATCTGTGTAGCTCACTGGGTGAGCCATTGTCCTTCAGCCTGATTTAATTAAGATGGAAGACTGAGAGTCAAGTAAACTGCCTTGAACTCTTTAATGTGAGATGGATGTCTTAATCTACAAATATATCATTTCTGTTGTAAAACACTGCATAGAATGACAGAACAATAATTATTCTATTTCTGAGTTGAGATGAGTGATTGATGCAAGTCATCACTTTAGACTGCAATTATCAAACACATTGTCATGTAGGTGTGACCATTTCTTAGAGTTGATTCAGGTATGCCTGTAACATATAAAAATCTTCTGGTTCGGCTAGGAAAAAAAATTGTATGTCCCACCCACTCCCCAAGACATATACAAGCATGCACATACAGCCCCCCCTCCAATCAGTATGTAAGTTCCATAAAATGCTTTGAGAAGTCACACTCCTAAGTAGCTATATTATGCATACTACTGGAAATGATCTCAGGTTATGAAGAAAACACTCAAGAAATACGTGGTTTGGGCTTTTAACCACAACACTTTAAGTAAATCATGGAGACCAGTAAAACAAGTACAGAGTTTCTTGTAAGAAATACAGTGGTGCCTCGCTTAACAATTGCCCCACTCTATGATGAAATCGCTTGACGATTAGGTTTTTGCAATCTCCTTTGCATTTTTTTTGTTTAACGATGATCTGTTCCCTGCTTTGGGAACCAATTTTCGCTTTACGACAATCAAAAACAGCTGATCGTCGGGTTTCAAAATGGCTGCCGGCTGCTTAAAATGGCTCCCCGCTGTGTTTTTGGACGGATTCCTCACTTTACAGGCAGCGAAAATGGCCACCCCATGGAGGATCTTCGCTGGACGGTGAGTTTTCAGCCCATTGGAACGCATTGAGGGTTTTCAATGCTTTTCAATGGGCTTTTTTATTTCATTTTACAGCATTTTCTCTCTACAGCAATTTCGCTGGAATGAATTAACATCGTTAAGCGAGACACCACTGTACTTTTTTGGGGTGTGTGTTAGGCAGCGAAAATGGCCACCCCATGGAGGATCTTCGCTGGACGGTGAGTTTTCAGCCCATTGGAACGCATTGAGGGTTTTCAATGCTTTTCAATGGGCTTTTTTATTTCATTTTACAGCATTTTCTCTCTACAGCAATTTCGCTGGAATGAATTAACATCGTTAAGCGAGGCACCACTGTACTTTTTTGGAGTGTGTGTGGAAACTTCTGCCTAAATGTTGAGCAAAAGTGCAACTATACAGTTCAAGAGCCCACTGATCTGGCCAGCTTCCTCCAGCATGATCAGCTGGAGAAGCAATCTTGCTATCAGTGTGAGAATTAGCATGAGATTGGCAGCCTGTTTCAGTGAGGTGTATGTATGCAGTGTATACATTGCTTATGAAAAGCAACAACTGTGCCTGCGGAATGCTAGCACTCCAGAGAAGATATTTCTTTTAAAAATTGCAAACCCACTTCATTATAAATAATCATGTGCTGTCAAGTCACTTCTGACTTATGGGGATCCTTTTCAGGGTGTTTTAGGTAGACAGTACACAGAAGTGGTTGGCCATTTCCTTCTTCTGGGGGTATCCTGGGACTGTGCAGCTTGCCCAAGGCCACCCAGGCTGGCTCTACTCACAGGAGGCACAGAATCAAACTCCCAACCTCTGGATCTGCAGCCAAATACCTCAAACTACTGAGCTTTCAGTCAACATAAATATTAATATCCTCGGTATAAGGCTATATAAATATAATCCAATCAACGTTGTATCCAAATGCTTGCTGTACAAACTGGAACTGATCTACATGAAGGTGTTATGTTGGTGTTTTAGGTAGATATACTTTCAGGCTTTTGCATATGCCTGGACATGAAACAGCTGTTTATATGGGTGGATAGGGAATAACAGTTGAGGGTGGCCATTCTGAGTTCTCCTCAGGGCACAAGAACTGGAAATTTCAGGAGAGGACTCGGCTTGCTTTGGGGCCCCAGATTTCAAATGCCTTTGGCTTTGGTGTTTCTTTCTTCTGCTAGAGCAATTAGTACCAAACATTTTCTTCCCCCACACCTGCAAATTTCAGCATTTTGAACTCCAAAATCACTGGAACAAACGTTTACGATTTGCAGGGGTGTGCAAATCAAACTTTGTGTGGTAGAGGGTTGGGTTCTCCAAATCTGGAGAGCCTGATTGTATATTATGCTAATTAGGCTGCTCAATTTGCATAATAACCCCAATATGCCAGTTGAGTTGGATTTGCATATTATTCAAATCACACACATTAATTGTTGCAATGATTTTCTACCCATGTATTTTAACCTTGGCATTATTTATATAGTAAAGATGGATTTGAAGGAGCCACTGTAGTGTAATGGAATCTTGAATTTTCCAAGTGTTCTTGGACTAAAACTCCCAGAAGCCTTCACCACTAGGTGTGCTAGCCAGGAGTTCTGGAAATTATAGTCCAAGAATACCAGGGATGGGAAGCACTGGTATAACAGTCAGAGTGGTGGACTTGGGACAGGGAGATGCAAGTTCAAATCTCTAATTAGTGACAAAGTTTACTTGGTATCATTGGGACGGTCAAAACTTTTCAGCCAAATCTACTTTATAGGATTGTTTTTAGGATAAAATGGGAAGAGGAGGACTATGTGAAACAGCTGCAAATAGCTACTTTCAATATAATTTAATACTTTGCTACCAGATTCTGGCAACTGTGTCCCAAATAACATCTCTTCTGGTGACTTGCTTGCTTGATATTCTCATATACATTTTATGCAGTTAAAAAGGAACCTTTCCTGCATTGTAGCTTTAAAAGAGGTAGCTGTGTTAGTCTGTGCAAGCCTATCAGGCAATAGCCAAACTGTTAGTCTGTGCAAGCCTATCAGGCAATATCCAAACAAACAGAACAAAAAAGACAAAAACATGTGACACCTTAAAGACTATTATATTATAATGTGAGCTTTCATGGACACGTCTGCTTCATCAGACATATGGAAAAATGAATGAAAAACTGAATAAAATATTGGTATTTCATCTAGTATTTAATTCCCCCCCCCCATATGTCTGACAAGGTGGACTTGTTTACAAATATTGGTATTTCATCTAGTATTTAATTTCCCCCCCATAAGTCTGACAAGGTGGACTTGTTCACCAAAGTTCACGTTAAAATATAATAGTCTTTAAGGCGCCTGAAAGTTTTTGTCTTTCTTTTGTTTTGGTTTGGTTTATTTGAATTTTGCCTAATATGCTTGCACAGACTAGCACGCCTCTGGGCTTTGAATTTCATGGTTAAAATAGGTGTCCTGACGAGTACAGGCACATGATGCAAATCACATAAAATTAGAATCTTAGATGCCCTGCATAAATCCTGCCATTTGTAACCAGAAGATTCTCACCTTTCTGAGAGAACCAAAGGACGCTAAAAGAAGTTGGATTACTAAGGGTCTGAAGACAGGCCCATTACCTTTTCATCTCGGGCAAACACGTTTTTCATGTTTGTGCATTCTTTCAAAGCCCTACAAAACTTCTTTCAGCTCTGTGCCTTAAATGCTTTTCATGAGTGCTTTGATCTTAAGCCAAAGGTTTATAAACTTTCTTAGAAACATAAAGGAAGTTAAAAGAAGGGTGATTGCTAAGGGCATGGATGCACAATATTCTTTCCTTTCTGGCAAGCATGTTGTTTTAGGTTTATGGATTGTTACAGAACTCTGCAAAATCTATTTGATCAGAAATGACAGGAAAACCAGGGGCGGAGGGAAGGGGTAGCATGGAAATGAAGCCGATCTTGAAACCATCTTGAACTGATTTTCCAAAACATCTTGTGTCGGCCTCCTGCCTTTGGGAACACAAAGGGCAGGAATGTCGCATTATGATTTCCATGGATGTTTTGTGGCAAATCTGAACATTGAAAACACTGATAGTAAAAACTAAAACTTGCCTTTCCCATATACTCATAAGAAGGTCTGGGAACTCCATGGACTCTGTGAAGATCTTTATCTCTTATCATGAAGACTTAACTGAAGACTTATCTCTTATCATGAACAACTGAAGATTCCCATGTCAGAACCCACTCTGACTAAGCTTATGAACTGCAATATATAAGCAAGTGTGTGGTCAGCCATTTGCCTTGGAGGAATAATATGCCTGCAGATCTCCTGTCTTTAGAACAAGAGAAAACTTGTGTGAGAATTTCTCTTGCATCA